TTATTCTTTAAGAAATTGACTTATATTGTCATTAAGGTTGAATATATAAGTCGTTTAGAGATAAAGATACCTTTAATTTTGTGCAAGTTTGAGCATATATTTTTATTGAGTGTTTTTTGACTTAATGAAACATCTTCTAGTCTATTTGAAATATGAAGCAAAAATAACAAGACCGGTAAAATATATATGGATGTATCCATTTAAAAGGTAAATATATTGATTTTAAACCCTTGATTAATTTTTTTAAAATATTTATTAACTAACATATGTATATAATGCTGGTATCTTTGGAAACTAAAAAAAATATAAAGAACAAAGCGAGAGTTGAAGGGTCGATATGTAATGCATATTTAACTCAAGAAGCATTAACATTTTATTCGTATTAGTTTGAGCTTCATATGCATATCGAGCATCAAAAAGTACCACATAACTTTGAGTGAGTGTGCTCAAGAATCAAGTGACAACATTGAAAAGATGCTTGTTATATTCAAATCAAAAGGTCGATCTCTTGATCGAGCAAAATCATATATGTCGATCGATGAAGGAAAACTTGCATCTCATACCTATATTTTATTGAACTGTGATTAGGTGATATTTTACACTTAGTAAGTTTTAAAATTAGCAAAATTTTTAATACTGAACTTCATTAATTATTAATTATATATAATAAATATAGTAAAAATCTTATAATTTTTTTCCTTTGACAACTATTTCATGAGGTAACTTCATCAAAGTAATTTCTAAATATCCAAGCACGAGGTTGATTATCAACTTAAAAATGATTTTACATAATGGTTTCATCGATGTGTGAGTATCATAAATTTTGAATTCTTTTTATTATTAAGATTCAATGATAATATTTTATACTAATAATAATTAATATATTTGGACTTTATAGGCAAGTAATGCATAACCTAACATGATAATCGACCATTACATTAAATATCTTGCAAAAAGATCATTGTGAATAACTAAATCGTATTTGAGATACATCATGAACCGGTGTCAGTTTAACATCGAAGGTTATGGTTTGAATAGAACAATAATCTGTAGCAGAGTGTGCATAAAATGAGTTAGTTATAGTGTTGAGGAAAAAGACTAGCTATGGTAGATTGATCGATGTACTAGAAATTGAGTATCTTGTATTACTAATAAAGAGAATTGTATAGTTCAAATATGATTGGTATGATTCTATGCCTAGCATTGGTACAAAGGGTTCATAATCAGTATGAACTAGTAGAAGTAAATAATTATAAGACGTTGAACAAATCCGATCCCTTTATCCTAGTAATATAAACACATCGGGTATATTATATAACACATCCTACATCGAAACACATCATACGTGGTTTGTTGATCTGTATGTAATGTAAAACCTAGGGTGGCGAGTGGATGTGTCACAATCATCCGTTACGATCTAAACAATTACAAAACCATTTCAAGAAAACAATATCGAAACCCAATACAATGTTATCTAATATGAAGATGATGAGGGTCAATCATCGACTGATCCGACTAAATTGTTAATAGATTGAGAAAGAAATGAAATTAGTGATGTTGAATTTGAAACAAATGTTAAGAAAGACTTAGATAAAAACTATAACAATGATGACTAGGAAAGTGATTAGCGGTAAGGTTTTATTTTCATCCACAGTTTACTTAAATTTATGAAGATGTGTATATACATGTGTGTGTGTGTGTGTTTATGTTTTAATTTAATTATAAATTATTCATTTATCATAAAATAAATATATTTTAACTTATTTATGTCAATATCAATGTTTTATAGTTGTTATGTTTTATTAACTAATTTATGTATTAATGTATAGGATATGCCTCGTGGTAAGAGACATTCTTGTATGCAATGACCCATATCATATGGTAAGGGTCGTGATTCAAACATCAATGATTGTAATGACCATGGATGTAGGCGTAGTCCTGCTTTCATTTCAAGTCGGATGGCCTCTCTCGTTGATATGTCTCCATACCATCCTGTCATAACCCTTGTATCAAACCCTTTATTGTTTCATATGTCTTAATCCGAGCCCTACTATTATGGACTTTCACGTTTTCATCAATCCGATCCTTCATCATCATCGGGAACCTCGCCCCGATAAGACAACCGACGGGTTCCTACACATGGCCTATTGGTAAATGACCTTTCTAGTTTGCCTTATGCACTGTCGGATCTACGTACGATCCTTAGATTTTGATTACTATCGTTGATGATAAGGAGTACGTATTATGCATTTTTTAAAAAAAATTTTGGTGTCTATATTATTATATTTATGCATTCATTTAACTATTAATTCATGTTTTATTTGACAACTCGGATAGCAACTCGATGCCATCCATACATATATATATATATTATTTGTTATTTATAATTATTACAATATCGATAAATATTTAAATATATTTGTCTTACCATGATGAATTGAGTCGTGAACCTCGATACGTATGAGGCTTTTTGAAGGCTCGTAGAAAGAAGGTTGATAATAAGTATGTATTCATCGATTAGCGGGTAAGAAATCTTAAGGTGAGTAATTTATAACTTTTTAAATACATATGTCACTTTTATATAACTTATCGAGATAACTATTTAATATTAAAACTTGTGAACTTATGTAGGAGATTGTTGAGAAAATACTTAAAGAGGAGGTTGCTAGTTGAAAGACGGAGAGTACTTCATTGTCCGACATCGATATGAATGAGATTTTTAAAAGGATTGTTGGAGAAGGAGATGGTAAAAGGAAGAAGATGTACAAACTTAGGTCACGTGCCTCTCGCTATTATTCTAATGTCGGTACATCCTCTAGTTTGGTCACATCGTGATTGTATGTCGATATTGAGGCGTATCGAAAGGAAATAGAGACCGATACTTCTAGATGAGAAGAAAAGATTAAAAAACTAAAGGGTACTATTACATCGCTCTCAAAAAGTCAAAAGTGATTGAAGCGGTATACTCGGGAGCAATACACTCGAGAGCAACATGTGATGAAGCAATAGACATAATAGATATTGTTGAATATGTAAAGAGGTAATTCATCCATCGATCCTCCGATCGACCATCATGTATCCGATGAAAATGACGATATGTCATGACATTATCCGCTTCATCACAACATATTTTTTTATCGATTTTATGTTTTTTGATAAAATATTAATAAACTTTAATATAAGTTGGTGTATATATATATATTTGATTTGATTGAATTTTATATATTATAAAGGTTTCGTAATATTTATAAATCTATTTCATATTGTTATTGCGGTTGTTAAATTGGATTAGATTTTATGTTTCTTATTAGCGATATGCACACGATGAAATAATTAACTAACTAAAAATATATAAAATTAAAAAGTTTAAAAAATTAACCAATGCCAAATTTGGCCATATTTAACGATAGTTTTTGAAAACTGTAGCTAATATGTCGTTAAATAGCGATGAAATGAGTGAAGTTATGTAAAAATGTCGCTAAATCTACGACTTTTTAAACATTGTTAATTCATCGATAATTTAACGATGGTTTTTAATAAACCATTGCAAAGTATTTAGCAATAAGGCTTTTTTAGAGGGTTTTAATTAGCGATGGTTTTTCGATTTTTAGCGACATTTTATAACGTCATTAATTGATGTTTTTCGAAGTGTAAATCTAACAAATCCCTCGTAACAAAAAAAACACTAAGAATGCTTAGATATTCTAAATCGAAGAGAAATTTTATATTATTTCAAAAATTCACTATTAGATATTTTATAGTTATTTTTGGAATAATATGAAATTTTATTCGGATTAAATAAGTAACATGTATATATAGAAATGATAATAAGTTTTTTTTTCATAACTTTATTACGATGTCAATTTGAGTAGTATAACTACATAAACAAGTGTTAAATATCAACATTGACTCAACCAAGTCATAATTGTTGACCGATACTTGAGTGTATGTATGTCATTTAATATTCACATTATTGTCGGTATCGAAGATCCGTTCATGCTAATTAAGAAAGAAGATGTATTGTTTGGTATCTATGGTTCATATATTTATTGAACTAGTTCATGCATTAGTTAAGATTACATTTTTTTTAGTCTAATGTTTACGTTAATTTTGTACATTTATTTGGTGTTATTGGTGTAAAAGTTCAAATACCTGTGAATGTAACAAAAGTCTAATAAATACCTATGTAAATGTGTGGTAAGTTGTGTAAAAAGAAACAAGTGTGGTAAAGTATGTGATAAATTCAAGTGATGTAAAAAGTTAAAGAGAGTTTAGTACTTTGTGTCTTGTGTGCATCGAAAAATTAAGTAAAAGAGTTTTTTTTTCTAAGTATGAGAGAAAATTGTTTGAGTTATGTGAGCATTTGTCTATTCTATGTTGTCTTTTGTTTTTTCACAATAACTAAAAGGTGTTATTTTGATTGTTAAAGCATTGTGTTTTGTTTAACAAGCAATATTAGAATTGCGCTAAACTCAACAATAAGTATATGGAAAAAATTTTGGGATTTTTTAATTTTTTTGATGAGTTGAAGTCATAATGAGTTCAAATCCTTCTCAAATGATCTATTATCATGATTTTATTGTCTAAATGATCAAGAGTTTGGTTGTAAATTGATTAACAAGTACAATTTCAATATTTTGATTTTGAATGGCAAATCCAACAACTCTCATTTTTTTCGTTTAATAACAAAATTTAATAGCAAAAGGTTAAAATAACATAATTTGAGAGTATACAATTATGTGAGTTTTAAATCTATATATCCTTATAGGACTGCATGTATTAAAAAATAATATCAAATCATATTCTCAAATCTTATTTAGTGTTTTTAATTTTTAGACTGAGTAGTTCTTTGATCTAACTAATTAATAAGTGCCGGAAGCATTAAACCATGGACTGAAAGTAGAATATTGTTCAATTTATAGGGGCAAATATGTAGTTTTAGCACTTTAGTTAGAAAGTCAAAGGTAAAGCATCGATTCTCAACCCCATAAATAAAAATCATGGTAAGGTACGTAACCAGTGACGCCAAGAAGATGGAGCAAAAAGTCAGAAGTCGATGGAGATGGAGAACTCCAAATTTGCCTAATTTTATAAATTTTGGTCCAAGTCAGACTGCATGTGTTACATACTGTCACATCACACTTCTTCAACCTTGTCCTTTCTTCTTCTTTTTTCTTTCCCCTTTTTGCACAAGCATCCTTCGTCCATCCGCTGAAGTACACACGGGGATGCCATAAAAATCCTTGGCGCTAATTATTATTTAATTCGTTTTTTCTGAAAATTCACTTCTTAAATATAGAAAGAAAGCTGTAAAAAAAGTTTTTTTGAGATTATGATTCGTGTTGTTTTTGGAAATAATCGATCAAAGAATAATAAAACAGCCTTTAATCTTTGTAAATAGTCATTAAATTTGTTCTTTCTTTATCTATCAAGTATTTTGATTATTATAAATAATAAAAAAATGATGATTTAAGCATGTGAAAGGCACAAAAATCGAAATGTTTTATTTGAGTGTAAAAGGGAGCATAGAAAGGACTTTGAAATTGATTTTTATGTATAAAAATCACAAATATATTTTTATATTAATTTTTAATTCTTGATCTGTTGGATATGTAATATTTTATGAAATCATCTTTATTATTTTTTTTATTAGTTAAATTGAATTGTTCATGGTAGTGTATTTAATTTCATATACTTAATTTTCTGTCAGTAATGAAAAAGAAAAGAATCTACAAAACATGGTGGAAGCAATAAAAGGAAAAAAAAACGAAAATAATGATCTCAATTATTATTATCCATTCTGATTTCCAAGCATTACTTCAAAGAAAAGAAAAGAAAATAACCCAAAACCAACCCAAACCAAACAAAACCCATGTGAGAAAAACAGGTCAATTGTGACAAGCTAACTGGTATCCGGTCTTCTGAGTTGCCACGCGTTATGTGGGCCCTTAGCCAAATCTCTCTTTGTCTCTCTCTCTCTCTCTCTCTCTCTCTACTAATACTAATAGTAGTCGTTGGTTATTAATTATTTACTCCTAAAAAAATTAATGATGATGATAACAATAACAATAATAATAATAATCAGATACATATATAGGTAGATGGATTATCTTATTCTCTCTCTCCATAGACATGACAAGAGTTGCAGCTACTCGGTCTTTGTCTCTGTCTGTCTCTGTAAAATGATAATTCTGTTCATAGGATCCACTGACTCGTCGTAACGGCTTCTAAGAAAGAAAGAAGAAAAGAGGAGAGAAGATCGCTTTTTTTTTCCCTGTCTCTTTTCTTCATCTCCACAAATTATTCTGTTCACTCGCTCACTCACTGATGGCTCCTAGCAAGTTCAATCCCACTGTAATTATTCTTCTTTCTTCCCTTCTCTGTCTCTCTCTATCCATAAATAAATGATCAATGTATATATGTTTATGCTCGATAATAATTTCTATGATCTTTGATTTGTTATGCTCTGTTGGCTGACTTTTCATTATCATTGATCATCTATTTGTTTGGATCTTTCTTGTTAATTTTCATTTTTTTTTGGTACTACCTGTGAATTGTAAAGCAAGCTCAATTAGGTAGTTTTTTTTTTTACTTGAAAGCTAACGCAGTGGCCTGGATATAAATATATTTTTTGGTGTCTGTGTGCGTGTGTGTTGTGATTGATCAAAATTAGTAGAGATGTGTTGATGTTATCGTTCACGACTGTAATTTGGAGAGAAATTGGGTTGTGGTGCATGCCATTCCATATTACTTGGAGTCGGAGAAATGTCAGTGTTTTCCCATGTGAAAGAATCAAGGAAATTTTGTTTTTGTCATGTTGAGTTAATACATCTATGATCATATCTCAGATTTGTTTTTCTTTATGTTCTAATCATGTTAATGATGCATCTTTAATTATGTAATCTCAAATGATAGGGGTTCCTAAACCCTACCCGTATAGTTCGTGCAATTAATGATTCAAAATGTCAAATTGGTGGCCATTCCAAGTTTTGACTTTTGAATTTGGTATGTCATTGAAGGTTTTGACAATTGTAAGTTTATTTGAAGATCCTGTATGGATAATGCATTCAATGACTGAGTATACTTCATCGATGCATTCACAATTGAACGTAACCAGGGACATACAAGTAGGGCTTTGCTTGGATGGTGTGTTTGAAATTCTTCTAGTCCTTCTCAAAATGGCATAAATGAAATGCTTTTTATTTACTTCCCTTTCCATTTTCTGTACTCAACATTCTGCTTTGATGTTGCATCACATCAATTAAATCATGTTGATGCTTTCTTCTGATAGGATCCTCACGGAAATGGAGATGCAAGTTTTTCGTCTTCACAGCCAGACAATGGATTTAGTGATTCACTTACACTTTTCCATTCCGAGAAGGCAGTGCAGGAACTTCTTCAACAGACTCCAATTCAGCAAACTGATGACCATCTTATAGAATTCTCAGAGGCTCTTAGAAGTATGTCTGCCCTCAATTTTTGGACCTATACATTTCTTTTCTGGAAATATTTAGTATGAGAACACATCTAACACGCAAGTTTGCAAATTAGCTGTTGCAAAGGCATTAAGACGAGCTGCTGAAGGAAAGGCTTCTGCTCAAGCTGAGGCTGCTGAATGGAAACGTAGATTTGAATTGGAAAGGGCACGGAATCAGCAGCTAGAGCACAAAGGTTTTTGATGATTAAACAACATGCATAAATAGTAGCATACGAGTTTCATTCATTGCATATCATGCATTTGACTTTGATGGTGCAAACTATGAATTTTATAGAAAAGAAAAAAAACGTTATAATGAAGCCTTATCTGATATTTTTGAATTCTCCTACAAAAATCACTTCACAAGATTCATTTCTCTGTTTGGTGCAAAAGTGATTGCTTAATCACTTCACAGCTTCATTTCAAATTCCTTTTGATTTCTAGATTTTTGGCAGCTTTCTGTTGATATCAACTGACAATCTTATACTACTTGAATTGCTAGTCAGTATCCCTGACTGCATGTGGTCGATCGTTTGTAATCTGTCTAATCGGTTCTCTATTGTTTCAAATCCTTGTTCTCATAGAAATCTGATGATCACTAGTCATATCTTTTGTCTCCTTTCTTGGATGCCCTTATCCTCTGAATTTCTTCTATTGGTTATAAAAATAAATATTTTGGTCTCACATTCATTATAAAAATAAGTTCGTGCTCAGAATTATTTCATCAATCTAGAGAAAGTTTACCTTTCATAATTGTTTCATCAATATTAAAATACATATTTTTTTTTCATGAATTTGGAAAGTCTATCAATTACGCAACTGTGGATGAGAAGTATTCATTATCCTGATTTATATTAGTCGGTACAGACATATTTTATTTTCTCCTATAGATGGTTGATGTATGAAAGCCTAGGGGGTAGTCTTTTAGTTTCTTTGGTATCCAGTCTCTCCCAGTTCAAAACTGCCATTTATTTTGTTGTTAGAAGCAACTTGTTTCTGTTCTATTCTGTAGCATCTGATTTAGATTAGTCATTCATCAACATTGTAGATAGCTTGTTGTGAACAAACTTCTTCAACCATGGGGCCTTTAATTGGTAAAGAAAAGGGTCATTATTTATTTTGGATGAAAAATTGATGCGATTGAAATTCACTTCATCCATAAGTTGTTCATATGATATTATTGTGCGTGTCATTTAGCATCATTGTATTACTTCATATAAGGCCTTTATCTTTTAACTCGCTAACATGAAGGCAATATAACAGCATTATGTTGTCCATTTCTCTTGCATGAAGGCATTGTGTCCACCCATGATCATGTGCGTTAATATGTGAGCATGCATGCTTGTGTGCATGTTTTGTGTGTGCTAAGTGTTATGATAAGGAATTTATTTTGCCAATATCTTATGAACATATTTTTGTGAGTTTGCTTTCTGGGAAGCAATTCATTGCAAGTGGCGATGGAGCCAAATGGCATCTCTTGGGTTAAGGTAAAAACATGGGCTTAGTTGTGGCTTTTTTGTTTTCTTAGAGAAGAAAAGGGGAAAAGGGAAACCTATAAAGAAAAGGATAATATTGAAGAAGAATGATAGGAAACCTCCAGAGATGACAAGAACTAGAAACCATGAAATGAATAAGAAAAGTAGAAGTGTAGAAACTCAATTGAAGCAGGTTAGAAAGGGCAGCTCAAGTTACGTGATGCTGATGATACTTTCTAATAAATGATTTCCTTCTTTCCCTTATGTACTATTATATAAGCTGAATTACCATTAACGAAGGTTGAAACTTCCTTCACAAGCATACTTCCATGCCTTTGTTCGGTTACTCAAAACTAGAGTGCACGACTAGTATTGATCTTTGTGTGGGCTATTGAAAGGTAAAGGATAGCACCAGCGAGATGGGATTGCACTCACCATAAATCATCTAGTGATGAATTCTAAAACATTTCCGAATATTGAACTTAAGGGTTATCTAAATGGGTGTGCATACTTGATGAATCTTAAGAGCATGTAGCCCCTCAGTTGATATGAGTGATGTTCTCTCTTCATCTGCTCTTTAGTAGTCTTTTTGTAAGTTCCATATAACTATCCATTTTTGCTAACTCAATGATGGTTGGTCATATGAATATCAGTTTCTTATTTTGTTGTTTGTAGAAAGTTTTATTTTCGTAATTTGCCTGTCTAGGATTTTCCATATCAATAACTATATATGATCGTGGGGACTAGGGATAAGAGACAGTGGTGTACAAGTAATGCCCTAAATTGATTTTAGTGGGATGGAACATGTGTAGTAGATGAAGGGTAGGAAATGAGAGAATGGTTTGTGTGGGAAGGGAGTTCATAACAGAAGTAAGAAATGGGTATATGGGGAATACCCCTTGGTAAATTGAGTGTAATGTGGAAGGATGCTCCTCAAACAATGTTGAATGACTGAGGCATATTTTAAAAGGGAGTGTTATTCCAAGTTTTGACATGGTTGAGGTTCTTTAGAAAGAGAGAGCGAGAGAATGTGAAGGTAGAGTGAGGTGTGAGGTGAAAAATGTACCAAAAGTCCTTGAACGAGAGGTTTATAGAGGGATTATTAACAGGAGAGTGTGACACCGTACCAATGAGATGTGACCAAGTGTTCACTTTGAGGTTGATGATTGGTAAGGTGCCATGTGTCTAGGCCCTTCCAGATGAGCTCCATTCTGAGCCAATCATACCAGACCTTTGCAAATTGTACCATTGATCTAATTATCAACTCACAAACCTTATCACAAGTCTATAATTAATCATATAGATGAGTATAATCTATTTAGAACATTCTTGACAGCTGAAAAGCATCATAGAGATCCGCTTTTGTTGATGAATTTCTCTACATGATTTACTCCCAATTTATATAAGACTCCAATAATAAAGAGAGAATAGTCTAACCCTGCAAGATAATAATGTGGATGGCTGTAGTAAACTATCGAAGTTGCAACTAAGCGCTAATGTCAATAATGAAGATTGATGAAGCTGTTCAACAATTTGCGTAAATATCTGAGAATAATTGAGAAAATACTCTTAGCAAAGTCAAGTTAACATTTTATTTGACAGGCTGATTAAAATCTCTACTGCCATCATGATCTATGCCCTTCTAAAGCTTTAATGATGGGAAAAACCATACCATGTTCTTAACTCATGTTTGGTGTGGTCTTTAGACAACAGAATCACTGACTTGGCCTATGTATGGGTGCTCTGTTTGTAATTTTCAGAAAATTTATGATTATAATAATTTGTTTCCGTTTTTTGGAGGTACTAAATGTGGTTCAAGTTTCCATCTTTTCCTTTCTCATTTCTCAGCAACTTTGTGCTTGTCTTTCTCTTCTGCTTTAATCTCTAAATTAGGACAGATCATCTCGTCATATGCTGATGGGTCCTTCCATGCTGATATTACTTCTTGTATAACTTTTTCACTCCTGAAATGTTTGAGTGGCGGTGTATTATCTTAGAATGACAAGAAACTGAACTTTCCTAGAAGTTCCCCTTAATTTTATCTTGAATTTTACAGGTTTTGAATATGATTGCTTAAAACTATTCTTGTTCATTTTGAATTTTCATAATGTTCCTTTATTTTCTCTCTCCTTTTTGCAACAAAGATTATCCGACTTCCCTATCTCTTGAATGTTCTCAGATGTCAACTGTTTTCACCTTGTTAGAAATAAAAACTGGCGTGTTGCAATTGGTTTTCTTGTCTAAATATATGCTATACGCATTTATACTTCATTTGCCTTTTGCTTCACTCGTCCAAGGAGCGAAAAGTTGGATTATTTTATGGTTTTGGTGAGTTTGCTAATCAAATTTAGACTCATTATCATCAGATTGGCAATTGCACTATCAGGCAACAATATATGTGAAGTGCTTCAAAGTTGGTGGACTCAGACTTCTCTATATAATGCGAGGGGAATGATAAGATTAATGCTCCCTTGTCTTGTTTGCTGGGAAGTTTGGGAAGAACGAAATAGGAGAGTTTCTGAAGGTACTGGATTTAACTTGCTTGGCAATTGTAGTAACTTTTTGTGTAGAGAATTTGCACATCTTTTCTTAAAAGATGCAATTTTCTATTAAATCCCGCGTTGGAACTAGCAATAATAAAGAACTTATAGCATTTAGACATTGTCTAAATGGAACATTAAAGTTTGATCTACTCTGCAAGAGTCTTGGGGACCCAAGCATCTTTGGCATGTGTATCATTTAAGATTGGGGTTCTAAGCAACATAGTACATTTGATGAGATTGTGAAGATGTTTTTAGGTGGTGCCAGCAATGGAGGTAACCTGGGATAAAAACGTCTCAATTTTTGTACAAGGTGGTGGGAATTTAGAGAAATGTATTGCTCTCAATTTGCCATAGTGTTACTTTCAGACAAGCAAACTAGGTTTGCGTGTTAGATAGTTAGAACATCCTTGTTAGTATTGTATTAAAAAGTTTTATTTTCTACCTGTGCTAAAGCTTGATGCAATTATTAGCACAGAGCGCATACTTATCCAGTCTTGGTTTATTGGCCCCTTTCACGTTGAACCATGTGTTTGTTAGTCTCTGTGCACTGATTAATAAGTTTTCTCATTAAAATATTCTATTTTTTTTTTTTTAATTTGATAGATGAATATATTGTACCAATCTCATAAATTACAAGGACTGGGGAAGTTTAATCTGAAAATAGTCCTAATTACTTTGCATATTCGTTACTTTTAAGATTTGTGCCTTTGTACTTGAAGACGTCACATTGCTGAAGAAGAGGCCTATATTTATGCTTTCTCGTATCGTACATGTCCATTACTACATTCACAGCTGGATTTTTTTTTTTTTTCCAAAATGGGGGAAAGAAATAGCAGGCTTTTTCTTGGTATTTAATGTTTGAACTTGTCATTTGATCTTAAGTTCCTTTCTGTGGCATGCTAGCCATTAAAGATTCTCTCAAGACTTTTATTGCTTCTATTCAATATACTATATCGTTTTATGATATGGTTGTATTTGTTAATTATTTTAAAAAGAATTATTATTTCGATGCCTCAGTCAGTAGTTAACTAGCAAGTGGTAGTTTATACAATTCACATTTTGCTGCTTGCTTTATAGCTGCAAAACTGTGTTTCTTAAATACTATGATTCCTTCTGTTTTTTTTTTCTTTTTTTTCCATTTACTTGCTTTACTGTTTTGTGTTGTTGTTGTTGTTGTTGTTTTTCTTCTTCTTTTTATTAGTATTATTTTATTTTAGGTTACTTTATGTTAGATCCATTATTTTTAAAAGCATGCCATGCTCGTTGAAGCTGAAATGTGTGCAAATTCCTTACGTGGAATGCTTGAATGTTTGATTTTTGTGTGTCTCTTGGTACTGAATTAAGCTCTGCCTTATTTCAGGTATTGTCCATTAAATATTCCACCATGGTCTGAGTGTTTCAATGTCCGATTTTGTCCACTTTTTAAGGAACGACTTTGATGGCTTGTATTACAGGAAAGTCAACAGGGGAATGCAATGGTGATATTGATGCTCAGCGGATGGAAAGCTCAGCTAATCAACCCATGCTGAGAAATGAAGCAAATGAACAATCTGAAAATTGCTGTACAAATGGGCTTTGCTCTCAAGAAATTCTTCATGATGGAGAGACTGGCTCTCATGCCAAACCAGTTCAAAACAGAATTATGAGAAAGGTAATTTTCTTGTTGTGCCCATAGCTGATTCACTATTTAGTGTGTTGTAACTGCTTGTTTAATTGAACGCTAGGTTTACAGGATCACATGTTTGGATGGGAACCTACTAGTCTTGGTAATACTATACCATCTGTTAATATTCTATTAGAATGTAGAGAGCACACTTCATCAAGCTTTGCTACTAGAGTTGATTTTGTTGTTATCTTGCTTGTCGATTTTTGCGATGATATAAATGAATTGTCACAACTTGATTGCAAGGAATTTCTTAGCTAAAGCCAACAATAAAAATTTTGTTAATGAATCTAGATATTATTCATGTTCTGACAAATTAGGTTTAAATTTGAATCTTGACACAGGCATCTTTCAAGCTTTCATGGTGGTGCAAAGGTGATAATAGTGATCAACACAAACATGATGTTGTCTCTTTTGAAAGAGGAAATATAACAGCTGCAGGGCGCAGCAGTAAACAGGTGTTGAATCCTCCTCTGTCAACATTATGTCCCCTACCTGAGTCATGTTTTTCTTTTATTTTCTATCGTAAGCAAATTTACATTTATACATGTGCATTTGTACTTCCTTTCCTTTGAGAAACTCTTAGAGCTCTGTTTCTCTCACTGTTAGAAACAGTTTACAAGGGCATCTAATATGTGCATGTACCTAAGCAATTCTCATTTTCCTTTCAGATTTCTTTGAAGTGGGAATCTAACCCGCAGACTGTGCTAATTATGACCAAACCAAATTCAACCTCTGTTCGAATTCTATGTGCACAAATGGTCAGGTGCTGATGAAATGTCCTCTGAAAAATGGTTTCCTTAGTTCCTAGTGTGGTTTCTCTACTTTGCCTCTTTTCATTCATCTTTCCTTGACAGTTGCAAAATTTGTTCTCACCATATGGTTTTGCATTAGCATTTTTATTTTCTAATTGGTTGCATGCCTTTTGTTATTTTACTATTTATCTTAATGCTCAGCTTTCATTCCAGATGGTTGAAAGAGCATAAAAAGTTAAACATTTATGTGGAACCACGTGTGAGGGGTGAACTTCTGTCAGAATCATCTTACTTCAACTTTGTGCAAACATGGAATGATGGTGAGCCATTAAATGGTTTCATTTTTCCTTTTCACATGGACAAGGGTGTTCTTTCAAAAAATAAAATTAAGAGGCAAACATCTGATTAATTACTGTAAGAAACGTAGTTTGTTAGCCATGGATCATATTTACTGCTAATGCATCACATTTTGAGCAATGAAGTTTTGTAATTTACATGCTTTTGGTTATGTTGGAAAAGTTATCTCAACCTTTACAGTCAAAAGAGTTGAAGTAGATGCTATTCTCTTCTATGGCTTTTAACCGCTAGTCTATCTTTAACTTCTAGCAGACCTTTTTTTCTTTATTCATCAGTATGCATGTGTATATTCTTTAAGCCTGTACGGTAAAACTGTAAGCACCATGTCAGATTATGTTCTGTTTCATGTTTCTATTTGAGAATCCCTTACATATTGTACTAGATATTTTGTGCCTTCCACTTTTAATGATGGTTAGGATTACATTCTGCTCAAATTTGGAGATAAAGTTGATGTGAGATAACCGAGAGTCCAATGCTAGTATGATGTGTTAATTTTCTTCTTGTTTATGCACCAGTATTTATATGCATTCTAGAGATCCACAATAAGCACTTTGTCTGCTTTTGCATGATTCAAGCTTCAACGTAAAGATCAAATTTAGACTACATCTCGTTCTCACCCTTTAGCTCCTCATTAATATCTTGATAATGCACATGATTTGGCTATTTATGAGTTCACAACATTGCTTTGCAGAAAAGGAAATTTTGAGCCTGCACACAAAAGTTGACCTTGTCGTGACTCTTGGTGGGGATGGCACTGTCCTTTGGGTATGTTCTTTCAGTTTGATGCGCATCACTCTTAGGTTGATTGTGGTTCCTTTTGCATTCATGCTTGGTAGAGTTACCATCGCCTTTCTTCATTTGCAGGCAGCATCAATGTTCAAAGGACCAGTTCCTCCAATTGTGCCATTTTCTTTAGGGTCTCTTGGCTTTATGACACCATTCCGTATCCTTCATGCTAGCTGATGAATTTATTTTGCTAAATGGAAAATGAAATTGACCTCTGAAAACACCAACTGCAATTTTTGGCTTCTATGTGACAGTATTTACTTATTTATTAGTCATTTCTTACTTGATAATAGTTACCTTTCCCATGTCTTGATTTAAAAGTATTCTTTAACTATTTTTTAGATAGTGAACATTACCGAGATTGCCTTGATTCAGTCCTTAGGGGTCCAGTTAGTATAACATTACGACACCGGTTGCTATGCCATGTTGTTAGAGATGCAGCTAAAAATGAGTATGAAACTGAGGAGCCTATACTTGTTTTGAATGAGGTTACAATTGACCGTGGAATATCATCATTCCTTACAAATTTGGAATGCTATTGTGACAACTCTTTTGTCACATGTGTCCAAGGAGATGGATTAATTTTATCAACAACATCAGGTAGCACTGCATATTCATTGGCAGCTGGAGGATCAATGGTTCATCCTCAGGTACATCATGATAACATCTTTCCATTTAAGCATTCATGAGTGTGTGTGTGTGAAAATGTTCTCTTTTTTCCAGGGAAGTCTCCTACTGTGAATACCAATTGATTTCGTGCTTCAGCATGTTTAGAAGTAACTATAGTGGTCATTTGCTATTTATGATGTAAAATGCTTTTAAAGCAAGAAAATGTACTTAGCAGAATCGCATGGTTTAAATAAGGGCCACCAGGTTTGATGAGTAGCACTGATAAGAACTTGATAATTTTATTGATAGACTGGTAGTTGGTAATACGAAGGTGCAAGAAGTGCCCTGCTCATGGGTGGTTGTTAGTTTTTGTTGAAACAGACTCTAGGAAGGTAATTTGGACGTGGTTCTTGCGTGAGCATTTTCTCTAGGAGTGACCAATTAAGATTTGAGTTGCATGCTTGCCCTTGACAACCCTAGACAATTATCATTTCAATAAACACCAATCAGCTAGAGTAATAATGGCAATTAGAGTTGAATCAGGGTCTCTTGCAATGTGGGAAGCTTTTATAACGGCCAACAAATTGAGTTAGAATAGATTGGTCTGCCTTTTTCCTATTCTCAATGACATGACCTCGCTGATGTGCGAAAGATTCCATTATTAAACTATCAGTTCAATTTGTAAACCATTAGTTATTAAATCATGGCTGGAGGTATCACAAGGACATGCAGAATGTAAGCACTGAAAAATTGTCACCCACACTATGGACACGTGTAAAGCTGGTGTTACTCATTTCTTGTAGACAAGTTCAATTATTTTGACGTGCAGATGAAGAATGTGTGATTGTTTTCATTTGAAAGTGAATATATTCATTGATTTTCCTCATTAGTATCATTACTATGACTGTTACTTTAATGTGCGTGATTAATATTACAAAGTTTAAGAATTTTCTGGAATTGCAGGTCCCTGGCATTCTCTTCACACCAATTTGTCCTCATTCCTTGTCGTTTCGACCTCTGATATTACCTGAACATGTAACAATACGAGTTCAAGTTCCGTTCAACAGCAGAAGCCCTGCTTGGGCCTCATTTGATGGCAAGGACAGGAAACAGTTGGCAGCTGGTGATGCACTTGTGTGCAGCATGGCACCATGGCCTGTGCCAACAGCATGCCAAATTGATTCTACAAATGACTTTTTGCGCAGCATCCACGATGGCCTCCACTGGAATCTCAGAAAGACCCAATCTTTTGATGGCCCTCGGGATTTATAATGCTCTTTCTAACTTCATTTTTCTCAGGTGCAAGAAAGCAATTCTTGCTGGAGTCTGAGACTTACCTTCAACTGTCACAGGGAAAGTGTTATAGCGGAGACAAGGGTAAAACAGTCAGTATTTATTGTCAATTAGCTGCAGACGATGAAAATTACAAGAGGCAACGAAAGTTGTTTCCCGTAAGATCAAATTTGTCTCTGAAATTTGTATAACTTGGCATAGTCATGAAATGAATAGATACAAGCAAACAAATTTGTTGAATGTATATACACATGCATATAGACTATGCATGCATATGCTGCATAGACAAGCTCAAGGATCTGTCTTTACTGATGCCCGCAGCTACCTTACGTTTACCGTTTTCAATTCTCAAATTTAAGATAATAAAATATAATTGCTATTTGAACTTAAGGGTTACGATTTTACAAAAATGATCCGAGCAATTCTTAAGAACATGAAAGGATTCAAGTTTCAGAGATGATGTGCACATAACTAATTTACAACTTAAAACTATTTAATTATTAGAACATTTAAAGAGCTTTGGTGCGGTATATAGGCCATGATTGTGTTACTGAATTATTCATCAAATTAAGACAACCATTAATATCCTGTGGACATTTTAATATTACATCAAAAACTAAAAGATTTGAAATGTTTATTGCCTTCTTTTTGGGCAGTTATGTGTGAATTATACAAAATTTTACACTTTGATCCCTCATCTTTTTTAATCTTATATTTTAATTCACAATTTTATTTATAACACTTCGATCTCTAAATGCACAAAGAAAAGAGAAATGAAGAGAGAAAGCATCGATCACTTTGGTTGGTGATGTGGTTTGGAGACATAAAATGATTTGAAGAAGTAGATCAAAATTTTAAAATATTATGAGTTTTTAATTTTAATTTGATTTTTTTATGTGCATTTAAATGAGTTTTAAAATTCTAAACACATTTCTTAATTTCATTTCAGTGTTTTTAAAGTGTTTTATAGAAAAATTAATGTATGGTTTGAGTTTTGGAGTCAAAAAACTCAAAAACCTTTTTTTTTTTGGCAAACTTTTCGATAAATTCAAGTTCCTCAAAAATTATAATGAATGACAAGTCATCTGCTATAGCAGCAGATGACCTGTCGTCCATTGGTGTTTTTTTTTTTTTGGTATATATATGTGGTCAGGCCCAACGTGACTTTTTTTTTTAGCAATTTATTTTTATTATCGATTTTGTGTTAAATTTATGAAAAAATAATCTTTTTTTTATGCAGCCTGACAATGAAAAAAACATAATTTCTTCGATTTGTCAATTCTTATTTTTTTACTTTCAGAATTTAAAATGATTTTTTTGATTTGTCGTTTTTTATGGAAACATTGAATTAATCACTTGATTTATTTTTTATATAATGTTATTTCTTAAAAAAATATAATTTATTTTTCTCTATGTATGGATTTTTAAATAAAATTTTAGAATGTAATTATTTTTTCTCTTTTAAAATACATTATTATAATTTATATGATAAATTCTTATGATTATATATATGCATAAAGGTTAGAAATGCATATTTCAAATACTTTGTCTTAAATTAAAAAAAAATTAAAATCATCAATTAAAAACTATATCTTACATGTGTTATTCAAAATAACAAAATCATCTTTTTTTCTTTTATTTGAAAATTTATGAAAAACATAAAAAAATAATTAATAAATACAAATTTTAATTAAAAAGTTATTAAATTTGTTTTTTTTATATCTTTAATTCACTATATTTTAATAAATCTGTATTATAATATGAGATATTAAATTAAAATGATTTGATTTTATTCTATCTACAACGCAACAGGATAACAAATTACTAAAAACTACAATTATATAAAAAATATTGAAGTTGATACCCATCCTAAAGTGTTAGTCTGCGATGCAAGTCCTTTTTAATTAATATTGCCCTAATAGTGGCCAAGCCTCTATTTTCCTTACTCTTCCAGTCTCTACGCATGCCTATAGACCAGAGATCTATGAGAGATATTGCCCTAATAATGGTTCAAACCTCTATTTTCCTTACTCTTCCAGTCTCGAAGCATGTTTATAGACCTGAAATTTAGGAGAGCTAGCTTTGCCTAGGAACAAGCATGCATGGTAGATTAGAGTTAGAAGTATCAAATATCAATTTAGGGATCCTCGGCCTACATTTCTACGAGGTGATTCGAGAGAGGGAACATGCATATGATAGCTAAAAAATTATCGATTATATATATATATATTTTTTTTAATTTGAATTGATAGAAGTAATGTCTATTTGTATAATATAGATTTCAAACATTTACGATCTGAATGTAAATAAATCAGATTATTTATCTCTCAATTTATTAATTAATTATCCCTAGATTTATTAATAAACTATCTCTTCGAGAATTACAAAAAATGTTTCATTAAAAATATTCTTGTTAGGAAGTGAGGAAAAGAGAAATCGGTATATTGTATGATGTTAGTAATAATCTTATTTAATTCCTATTTGTTCCGTTTCGAATTTCCGAATTATATCCGATGTTTTTATAAATGACTTTTATTGTCATAAAGGTCATGTTTTCTAGTATGATCAAATTTGGTTTGACAAACGGCTAATAATGGTGTCATTTACCTTTTGGGATCTTAATGTAAGGTTTGGATGCTCATTTTTCTATAAACCTTGGGCTTAGCTTTTGAATTTTACTTGAATTTAGGGCTTCGTAGTGATTAGGAGATCATGATTAACGGTTTTCTCTTGGCTTCACCATTGCGGAATATTCCCAAGCAAAATTTACCAAAAAATTTTCATTATCATCAAATTTGCTTATGCAATCTTCATAGATGTTCATCCATAGTAATAATCTTTTGAAGATGTAAGGTAATTTGGTTGTTCAAGTCAGCTTCTATATTTGATGTAGTTGATTTTAATGCTCTTTAACTTGTATGTGAGAAAACTCTAAAACACGATAAAGATAATTACTCCTATCCTTTGAATTTGTTGGCAAGGATATAGCTTTTGCTTGGTCTAGAATTAGATGTTGGATCTAGGTTCGTTGGTGTAATGAAATAGTTGACTTTGTATTGTCTCCTAATCAATTAATTATTTTAGTATGAAAGTTGAAAAAATTCCCTTTTTTTTTTTTTTGAAACAACTCTTTGCTTATGGAATTGTAATTTGCAGGCCCTACAATAAGGGTGGCACGTCGCTAGCTAGATCCGTCGAGCCCAGACTCAGCTAAAAATTAGAATAATTGCACTACAAACATATTAGTTTTTATTTTTTAATTAAATATATAAATTTTAATTTTTTTTATTTTATGATGTATCACGTACTCTCGAAATATCAAATTATATATATATTTTTAATCTAAATATATAGATTTTAATTTTTTTACTTATCTTTTTTTATGTTTGGGGAGGGGGGCCTTTGGGAAGTGGTATTTTTATATGTGTCTAGTTATAATTAAAAAAAATTGTAAATGATTTTCAAAAAAGTGAAAAAAATTAAAAATTAAATAAAACGAAGAATAGAAAATAACCAATTAAGAATAGTGCAATTAAACCCTCAAAAAATTAATTCTTAGCACGGTTTTCTTTAATTTTCTCAAATCAAATTAACCCATTAGATTATTCGATTTAATCATTCTAAAAAACTCAACGTCATTTTTCTAAATAACACAAAGACTAGAAAGAAATTATAATTAAACTGAGCCAAAACAATCCCTAACCCATCCGGCAAAATTTTTCAAAAATTGAGAGAAACTTTTCAAAAATTTTATTCAATCTATAATAACGAGTTGTCTCTGCAAAATACATAAAAATGTTTAAATACTAACATACAGAGTCGGTTAAACACTAACAATCCCTAACCCATCCGGCAATCCCACTTAAAAATCCAAATTTTAAAATAATAAAGATTAATTAACTTAACTACAATCCAAAAAAAAAAAAAAGATCTAAAATAAACTCCTAAATAATAATACTAAACTAAAAAGAAATCCCAAACAAAAAAAAATTCTTAAAAAATAAAACACATAATTACTAATAATATTAAAAATAAATAAACAAAAACTTGAAAATTTCAATCTTAAATAATTGGCCTGATGAATTTGACTCTCATAGTCTAGCTCTCAAATCAATCGTCAATTCCCGTACACTTGCTGCGTCCAACATCACGCGTAATGGAAGTCGTCATATGTTGTACATTAAAATTAAAAAAAAAAAAAAAAAACACACCAACCCTAAATCAAAATGTTAATTTACTATTTATTGGTATTATTCTAAATATTGTTCACCCAAACTCATGTATTATTTTTTTCACTATATAGTAGGTTTTTTTTTTTGTAGTTTTTAAATTTTTTAAAAGCATTTATTGTGAAAATTTTCAAAATATTATACTTTGGTTCCTTTTTTTAAAATTTTATTTTTCGATCTGTAAATTTTTTTGTTTTATTTTGGTCCCTCTTTTTATTTTATTTTGATTATTTTGATCCTTTTTTCTCTTATTTTTTTAATTAAAAATTTTAAGGTAAAAAGATTTTTAGAAAAAAATAATTTACAAAATAAGTTTTTAACGAAGAATCCATTGTTTTTGACATTTTTCTTACATTATTATAATTTTTTTAGTTAAAAATGTGGATAGAAATAATTAATTAATTAATGTTTTTTAATAAAAAAATTCATGAAAAATATAAAGAATAATTAGTCAAATAAAAAATTATAAAATTAAACAAATTTTTATTTAGTTTTGATTTGATATATTTTGACAGACGTACAATATAACATGAGACATAAAATTGAAAAAATTTCTTAAAAATAATTTTATGTGTTATGTCCGACTCGTGAGCTTAGCGTAAGTGAAAAAAACTAGTACGATCTATTAAATGTTAGACATGAATTCACTTTTAAGGTCAGCAAAAACAAATCTAATTTTTTTTTAAAAATACTGAATGAAACCTAATTACATTAATAAAATCGATTAGAAATTAAGAATTAAACCGCGCCTCTCTCGCTGGCTCACCATTAGTGCTTCTAATTGTGAAGTTGACCCACTAATTTTGGATTTAATTACTCAATAAATGAAATTTAGGCATGGAGTTGTGAGGATTTCCCACAATAGACTAGACTACTCAATTTTTAATTGCAATGGTTTGTCGTTAATTTTGGTTTCTTCAGGTCGTCATTACATATAACAGGTTTTTATTTTGGTCTTTTAAATTGTTACATTGATTTCCTAAATATTATTAAAGAAGTCGATTATTAAAAACAAAGGGTAAATTATATAATATAATAAGTTTTCAATATGTATTTATATATCTAATTAAGTTTCTAATTTTAATTTTATTCTTATAAAATGATTGAATTTTCAATCTATCATTAACATAAATCTACATGAGTGAATATTATATTAAAAATAGAAACATTTATGGAAAATGATGGAGGTCGCGGAAGAGAAAGAAAGAGAGAGAAGAGAGAGGTTTCAAAGGAGAAGAGAAATCTAATCCCCATGATTTTTTTTTTTTTTTTTAAATTCTTATGTTTGTCATGTGTTCTCCAGGTGACTTATATGTTCATAGAGCTTAAAGCCATTTTCAATATAATATTAAGTTATATACGTGATTAATTAAGTTAATTTCGATGAAAAAAAATTAACAAAAATAGATTGAAAATGGCTCGACGTGAAAGACAACCAGCTTTATAATAATTTTTAGTGCGAATCCAATAATTTTATAAAGATAAAATTATTTTAATTAAACTATTAAAGATATAAAAATACATTGGAAACCAAATTCATTATATAAGAAGAAAATGATCACTATAAGTCTATAACAAACTATGGTTTTTGTTCCTGAACTCTTTTTATGAATAATTATTCTTTAAACATAAAGAAAGTATAACTTCTTAGTTTTTCTAATCTTGTCAGAGGATGATGTTCTTTTTATGTTACATGGACATCCTATAAAGAGATACAGAGTTGGATAACGAAGTGTAATGTTTGAACTTGGAGTGAATCCATCAAAATGTAGATGATAAAAAAGATTTGTTTAGAAGAGTGAATTATAAATAGTCCTAATTTTGTAGAATAAATTAAATAATTTTTTTTTAATTTTAAAAAGTAATTAATTGGTTTTTTATTCGTATCTAATTTAATATTATTTTTTTTATCATATATATATATATATATATACATATCTTTTCATATCATTTGCTTGTTTTTTTGAAAAAAATTGATGAAGAACATACAATAAATAAAAAAACTAATTAATTGATTTTTAAAATTAAAAAATATTTAATTTATTTTACAAAACTAAAGAGATTAATTTATAATTTTATTAGCATTTAGAAATAAATCAATGGTATTAATTGGCTTTTCACCTTTTTATTTTTTTTTCAAGTTTGGAAATTTAGATCAATGTGGACATGTGTCAAGTGTTGAGTAGATTTGTTATTAATGTGACACGACGCTGGGCATGGAGTCCAAACCAATGGCGAAGCAGTAGGGGAACTCAATGGGTTTACTTTCCAACAAGAGAACTAAATGAAATAAATTGAACATCTTTAGGGATAATGCATGTTATAGAAATCATGGAATTAAAAAATGGGAGTTATTTATATAATGTATCAGCCGTTTCGCAATGGAAATCGTTTCGTTTATCATGTTACAACCATTCACGTCTAGAACGATGCGTTTATAAAACTAAAAACCATTTCATATAGATCTGTAATGCTATCTATCTTCACGTAATTAAAAAGAAGAATAAGAAAAAATAAAAACCATCTATGTCTAGAATAAGCAGTTATGGGATGTATCGTCATTGCGTAACGAAAATTTACTCTTTTAATTCTTTTACAACCATCCCCACTTGGAATGGTAACTGTTTTCAAGAGAGAGTTTTTATTGTAAGCTCTGCTAATATATAGCTCAACATTTGGATGATAACATGGCTCGAATTTCTTTCATCTCTCTCTATATATGCATGTGTGTGTGTGTGTGTGTATTCTTAGGAATTCTATGGGAAGCGTAACTTTTTATCATCATTAATTCTTTATATATGTGTTGTTCGACGAAATAGGATTTGCAAGAAGTTTACGCATCTTGTAAGTTTGATTAAACATATCAAGAGGATATATTATGCCTTAAGTTATGGAAAATACATTGGAAACTCTGAAGCAGTCATGTTGCCAGTTGATAACTCAGGTCTTATCATAAAAATCAACGCTTGATTAATTACCCAACTTGTAGCTGCTGCTGCTGCATGCATAATCACGTTTTTAAGAAAAAGGACTCCATCAATGAAAGAGAGGACCGCATCACGTGGAGTAGGAAGCTTAAACATGAATCCTGGCTCGGTAATCCCTTTTAAAACTCCCTCTACAAGTCTCAACAAAAAGAATTCCTCTGACTCTAATTATTCCATCTTGGCCCATCAACATTTTGATCATCTGCAATCTCTTCTCACATCTTTCAAAATGTTTTCATCAAATGCCTCCAACTTTAGCTCATCGATTCACCAAAAGTGTCAACTCTTGCCTACTGGAATTTTATGCAAATCCATAGCTGTTTCAGGCCTAATCCTCTTTTTGTTCTATGCGTTCTTGTTAAACAATGGCAACCAATCTTCTGATTTATTCAATCTGCCCTTTCAACTCAAATGGCCTGCAGCTTCATTTTCATCTAACATTAATAATACCATGGACTCTCCGACCAATATTAACCACATCGGATTTATAGTGATTGGTTCTTTGAATTCATGGAAGAATAGAAAATCATACATTGAGTCATGGTGGCGGCCAAACGTAACTAGAGGATATGTCTTCTTAGATAAGGAGCCCACAGAAGAATTTCTACCTTGGCCTTTAACTTCTCCTCCTTTTCAAGTCAATGAAAACATCGCCAAACTAAGAGTCTACCCTAAAGTTGCGAGCCCTGTTCAAGTTCGAATGTTTCGTTCACTTTTAGATATGTATAGAGTGGGAGATAAGGATTTGAGATGGCTAATAATGTGCGATGATGACACCATATTCTTCGTCGATAATTTAGTAGAAGTTCTACGGAAATATGATCATACTAAGTATCAGTATATTGGAGGTAATTCGGAATGTGTCAAGTCAAATGCTGATTTCTCTTTTGACATGGGATTTGGTGGAGCTGGCTATGCTGTGAGTTATCCATTTGCACAAGCATTATCAACCAAATTAGATGATTGTATTGAGAGGTACTTTTATGTATGGGTTAGTGATCATATGGCACAGTCTTGTTTTGCTGATCTTGGAGTTGCTTTAACCATTGAGAAGGGGATTCACCAGGTAACTCATGATCAAACTTTTGCTACAGATGAAGTGCTTCCGTTTATGCACGTTAATTTGCCTAGCTAGCTATACAAGAAAACGTTTAGCAACCATTCATTCTAGAGATTTTTCTCATAACCACCTCTTGTTTTGGTGCAACTGCAGATTGATCTACATGGTGATATATCAGGGTTTCTATCGAGTCACCCGCAATCTCCACTCCTCACTCTCCACCATTTTGATGTCATAGATCCAATCTTTCCCTCCATGGACCGATACGAAGCTACACGGCACCTCATGAAAGCAGCAAAAGTTGATCAATCTCGCATTGTACAACAAACAATCTGCTACGAAAGAGAAAGCAACTGGTCTTTCTCTGTGTCCTGGGGCTATTCTACTCACATATATGAGAATATAATACCTCGAAGCTTTCTACGCAAACCCCTCGAAACGTTTAGGCCTTGGGCTAGAAATTCTAGGCCTCCATTCTACATGTTCAACACACGGTGGCTGATTAACAATCCATGCGAAGCTCCTCATGTATTTTTCTTTGAATCAATAGAGCATAGCGCAGAGAATAACACGGTTCTTACGACCTATGTTCGAGCAGCACCACGGAACCTGCCTCCTTGTTCAGCTTCCGGCAATCATTCTGCTGATCCCATCTCCAAAATTCGGGTGCTTTCTCCTGCAACAACACGCAAGACGGTAATTGCTAGTTCAATCTTTAATTACCAATTACCATACATACATCAAAGTTAAAATTAAGTTCAAATGGAAGATTTTTTGCCCCTTTTTATTTTTTTCTTAAAAAAAAAAATTTGATATTTATCATTGGTTTCCATCTGCATAATTTCCAGGCCGGGGTAATAGAGTGCTGTGATGTTGATTACAAGGCTGAGACGAATGTTACAGACATCAAAATAAGGTCCTGTTTGAAAGATGAAGTCATTGCCTGAATATTGCAATGCATCATTTTTTGTAACTCAAAATTTTTGTTGTTAGTTTTTAATTAGTGTTACTTGTACTCATAGACACATGTATAGTTAGTATATCATGCATCCCATATCTCTATGCATGAGATGGCCTTTTCATTTCCAAGATCTGAAACAATAAAATCAAGCATTTGAGTAATAATATTGACTTGAATATATATTGGATCCAATTAGTATTGTTATTAGTTAGTACCCCTCTTCAGATATCCTGTTAATTGGCTTTTATAAAAGTTATAAAGAGATATCAATGCAGTCAGAGCTTTCTGTGTGCGTTATGGCACAAAATTAACGCATAGGGTGGTACGATGGTCATTAAGATTTGTTTTCTCTTTTTTTTTTTGAATTCGAATCTTAAAATTAATTAACATATAAAAAATTTCCTTTTTGGAATGCATCAGGCTGCTGATGTAAAAGGAGTTCGTCTTTGAAATCGTGTAAAGAGAAATTTAATCACACTTAATGTAAAATCAAGTATACTATATATATAGAACCACCAAAAAAAAAAAAAAAAAAATCCACGAAATTATCCTATATATATATATATATATATATAAGCTTTGCTGTGGAACAATGTGATTGTTTGGGATATGCCTTCTAACGTGTAGAGGTTAAGCCGAGTAGTCCTCCCTGCACTCCTTCAATTCTTTTATCCAGACCTTAATTTTTTTTAATTTTCATTTTTTTTAATTTTTTATGTGGATCCAGTATGCTTTGCGTGGCAATTTTGATCACTAGTCAATGAAATAGACCGATTAAGATCCGTCAAGTGTCCAGTTATTAGCAAAAAAATTAGTAAATGATTTTCAAAAAAAAAAAAAAAAAACTAAATAAAACGTAGAAAAATAAGGAATTAAGAGTAATGCAATTAAACCGTCAAGAAATTAATCTTATCAATTTAATCATTCTAGAAAACTCAACATCATTTTCTCTAAATAATTCAAAGACTAGAAAGAAATCAGAATTAAAACTGAGCCAATCAAAATGGACTTTATTTCTCTTATTTTCTTTCATTTATCTAAGTTCAAAATCAGTGAACTTGTGCAAACTGATATATAATTGGCTCAATTTCATTGATTAATGGCCAAAATTGCCTCGAACATGCATGCATATCACTCTAAACGATGGATGGAAGATGGAATCCAATGTTTAGGGATCGCATTGGTAAAATAAAATAAAAATTAAGGTCTCGATCAACAATTGAAGGAGTAAAGGGATTAATGTGGTCTTTAACCCAAACGTTTAGCTAGCACTAAGCAGCATCAAAACTGCAAAGCTATAACCGTTACAAGCCACAAATATGCCCTGGTTGTACGGAAAGCATTTTACCTGGGGTGGATGGTTTGCAAAATTGCAAATATATATTGGTTAAAGTTAAACACGGCTCAAAGCTCCAAGCCCAAATATATTTTGTTGCATATGGAAAGCATTTCCTCCACATTCTACCTGCGGTTGGACATGACTCTAAGCTCACTCGAATAATGATTTTGTATCAGACAACTCACGAAAACAATGCATTGGCACAAAGGGAACAAGAGGGGCAAAAAACAAAAAAAAAAAAAAAAAAAAACCTAACATATCACATGAACTGTCAAGCCTAGGTAAGAAACTAGTCCATATAAACTCTTCTAATAATCCAATCAAAGCTGCCAAATTAAGAATCCCTTCAAAAATGTCTTCAGAGAAACCCATCAACAGTACTATTAGAACTGCAATTCAACAAGGTTTGCAACACATATCTCTTGGAACTCTATGCAAGTCCATAGCCACTTCTGGACTGATCCTTTTCTTGTTCTACACTCTCTTGTTTAACCATCCTTACTACGGCCAGTCTACGAATCAATTCACTCTCTTTAAGCTCAACTGGCCACTTTCACCTCATAACGCAAGTGCTTCTGCGAATGTTACTACTACTCCTACAAGTATTAGCCACATTGTATTTGGCATGGTGAGTGATGTGAACACATGGAACTACAGAAAATCGTACGTGGAGTCATGGTGGCGACCTAATGTTACTCGAGGATATCTTTTCCTTGACAGAGATCCCACACAAAGATACCATCCTTGGCCTTCATCTTCTCCGCCTTTTCGGGTCAATGCGCCTGTCAAATTTAGAATAAACCACAAATATGCAACACAGATTAGGATATTACGTACAATCATGGAGACTTTTAAGCAGGGAGATGAAGATGTTAGATGGTATGTAATGGCAGATGATGACACCATCCTATTTGTTGATAATTTAGTTGAGGTACTAGCTAAGTATGATCATACTAAGTACTTCTATATCGGAATGAATTCGGAATGTGTTAGCTCGAACGTTAATTTCTTGTTCGATATGGCATTTGGTGGAGCTGGGTATGCTTTGAGCTACCCTCTAGCAGAAGCTTTATCAACGAAGGTGGATGGATGCATTCAGCGATATCCAAACGTATATTCCAGTGATTTTATTTTGCAGACATGTTTGGCTGATTTTGGAGTTTCACTTACACATCAAAGAGGGTTTCACCAGGTACTTGATCATTCTATTAATGTTCATATACAAATTAAACAAAACCACTTCACAAACTAATCAATTCCTGTTGATTATGGTGCATTTCTGCAGATTGATCTACATGGTGACATATCAGGCCTTCTATCAGCTCACCCTCAGTCTCCTGTCCTCTCCCTTCACCACATTGATGCCACAGATCCAATCTTCCCCTCCATGAACCGCTCTGCATCCATAAACCTTCTAATGGAGGCTGCAAAAGTCGATCATTCGCGTCTATTGCAACAAACCATCTGCTACCAAAGGAAAAGCAGCTGGTCTTTTTCTACCTCGTGGGGATATTCCACTCATATATACGAAAATATATACCCCCGAAGCTTTCTACAGAGACCCATCGAGACATTTAGACCATGGTTGAGACATTTTAAGCCACCATTCTACATGCTCAACACTCGAAGTCTCACTGACAATCCATGCGAAGCTCCTCATGAATTTTTCTTGGAGTCTGTTGAGAGAACCGGAGGAGACCAAGTTGTTACGACTTACGTCCGAAAATCACGGCGTAGTTTGCCGCCTTGTTCATCAAGTGGCAATCATTCTGCAGATCATATTTCAAAAATTCAAGTCTTTTCTTCAGCAACAACATTTAAAAAGGTGAGTTAATTTTTCCATCTTTGCCATCACGTCAAAAGTCCAATACTGTTGTCAGACTTAGCTCTAGATAGTAATTAGCTAGCTACGTTCGAGATCTAAAGAGTTGCTATAATTCGTTAATTAACAATCCACTCTTGGTTAGTTAATGGACAGAATTAAAAGAAAACACTAACATAAATTTTGGACTGAGAAATTTAATAAAACAATTTCCTCAAGAATTTTGCAACAACTGTTTGTTGATCACTGCTTCTATCTTACAGGCTGGACTGATAGAATGCTGCGACGTTGAAGAGACAGCAGACGTGAAAATTACACATATCAAGTTAAGGGCTTGCATGAAAGATGAAATCATTGCCTAGGCATGGAATCAGAGATATATGGAACGTTTTTTCTTGACTGTGTATTCCTTTTGCTTTTTATTTATTCTTATTATTATTGGTACAGGGGCTTACACATTATGCTGCTTGGCGCAATGAAGCGCAGCTTTAGCCCAGAGCACAGGACGGTACTAAAATTTCTAGGCAATGTTTCTGTGGAATTTCATCAACCAAGAATTCATCTAACAAAATAACGTCATTATGAGCTACATCTCAATTTGCATTTTCTAAACACATTAAAGCATGATTATTATGATTCCTCTTCATGTGATACTTGTGAATTGAGCAGGTTTGATATTTGTTCAGTTCAGTTTAACTTGTGTCAAGAATGGTGTAGTTTTTCTATTTCAATCTCCCAATTAACAAATAAAATATTCACATCAAATTTTTATTTTTCTCGCACTCCTTTAGCCCTTTTCATCAGTTCAAATTTACCAGCGATTGTCCAAATCCGGACACCAACAGTGAAAGGGAAAAAGTACATTTAAGAATCATAGAAAAAGTCAGAGCAACTTCAAAATGTCAGCTTTATCGACTAATGCTGATGTATAAATGTTCAATAAATCTCGGCAGATCAGCACCCAAAAACCCCACAAAATTCCAATTAATATACCTACTTCAAGAGCAAAACAACATTTCTAGAACTAATCAGTCAATTCCTTGTGCTCCTCCTGAGCCTTCTGGATTCCTATCAAGCGAGCATAGTCCACCCACCTGTTGACGCAAAGGGATGAACATGAGATGCCAAAGGTACAAAGATTATCAAGTTCAAAGATTTCCAGGAAATAAAGAGTGCAATCTTACAATAATGAACCCAGGAATGTGTTGCCTGTTCGGACAGCGAAACAAATTGCACTAAGCATGATCTTGTGCTGGTGTAGCATAGGTTCCAAAATGCGCTGTTCAATAACACCAGCCAGTAACTGATACCTGTTCAACAAAACTACTCTGTCAGTAAACCATTTTAACCCCCAGAAACCCGCACTATCAATAGCACCACCCAGGAATGAAGACAGCTAAATTTCATTAAAATAGTTTCATTAGCACCTGAAGTATTATAAGATCCATTTTTTTAACCCTTGAAGCTTTTAAAATGGACAAAGTGGCACCAGTTCAAAATTTTCTACAATACTCATCATAGAAAAGTATACAAGCAACGCTTCATTGTTAATTTTCCAATTAATCTGTTCTCAATAATGAATCTAGCACCAAAGGCTATACAAATCAAGTTCTAACATGAAGCATTATGCTAATAAAATTTTGCATAACTATGTTGTCTTCAACAGGAAACTAATTTAGTTCTGATGATGAAATAAATCACTAGCCAATTGCCTAATTTTTAAATGAATAGTGCATGAATTAAACAGTTCAATAAATTACAGCATCATAGAAAGTACAGAGATAAGACAGATGCTTAGAACATAGAGCAAAATCCACGTCTAGAAGAACAATGTACCTGAGGTTGCTAGAAATTGCCATGTAGACACCATAGGCAACACTGGTAGATAGTATAGGTACATTTTCAACTTCTCCAGCAGCAGACTTATCCACAGCTTTCCGTGCATTGATCAAAGCATTTGTCACAGCAGTACCAACCTAAAACAAAAAAATTTCATTAAAAGTATGCATCCTCAAAATCAAGAATCTTTCATCCATTGGCATACTAATGACAAGGACAGGTACTTTGCAACAGAAAAGGAAGAGGCAAATAACCAAGGATGATAAAGATTTTTTGAACAAAAGACCTTTTGCTCTTTTTTATTGTCTAACTAGATTGAACTTATTATAATGCAAGAGCACATGCACGGAAGGTTACTCCAAGTTAATATTGATAACAGAAGTGCAAACAGTAAGGAATCTATAAAAAAGAGTAAAGAAACAAATGGCTTATAATGCAAAGCTTTCAGACCATTAAAGATTAACAATTCTGACAACGAGCTTAGATTGAAAAACAAAAGGCCAAAGTACCAAATCCTCCATGCAACAAAAAAAAAAAACAATGGCAATGATAGGAACATGAAGTGTGCGTGGAGAGAAGGAGAAACAGGCTGATTTTTTCATTCATTTCTCCGTAATGCATTTCCAGTTTCCATTATAAAATGTCAGAAAGGCAAATTCCATTTTGTGGTTTAGTCACGGTGCTCCATGGACAGTTGGCACAACACCAAAGAAAGCATTGGCCCATAAGAAAGTGTTTTTCAATAGAGAAGATTGCAAGGAGGATAAGAGATTCTCCTATAGAAAACTATATAGTTGATACAGAACAGCATAAGGTGACAGGCTATGGAAGATGCGTTAGACAAACCTCGAAGTATAGCAGCCTACTAACTTCAAATTCATTTCATAGTACAAAATACATCTAAAGAGAGAGATATATCTTCCTGTCCAGTAAGAACTTACTAGTGACGAAGCAGTGCCAACAGCAAAAAGTTTCGCCCCATTACGCTGCAATAACAAATCCACATAATGACCAGGCTGCTCTTGGCACGGGAATTGAGATTTTTAACCAACAATAAGCAATATGCCAAAAAAAAAAAAAAAATTCCTTACCACTATAGCACCTAATCTCTGTAAAAGTGAATAGGAAGTTCCAGCGAGAGCCACCTGTAACAAGGATTTGAGGAACAGACGACTATCTTAAATTTTCTATTCTCAGAACATCTTTATACAACTTACTAGCCAATGCACAAGTTTATTGAGAAATCAGAAACCTGGAATGCATTATCAGGGCAGTTGTGGAAGAACTTTGCAATAGCTCCAGCGTTTCCAGCTAGTGGTAATCGAAGAGGCACCGTGGGAGCAGGAAGAAAAACAAGCATGAAGTCTGCAATTATGGCCATCACCTAAGAAAAAAATGAGTTCCAAATGAGGGATGGAAATAGCACATTTTCAAAATTAAATGCACAGGAAACCCTCCAAAGTATAACTTCTTTGAAATGGTGATAATAGTCATACCACATCAGCAAAAACAACTTCCAGCTCATTAAAAAAATTCTCTCTCCGACGCTCATACTCTGCAGCAGTCTACAAAATAAAAAATTAAAAGTCACAATAAGGTAACAATTCTAATGCCAGTATAAACTATAAACGAAGGAGGCAAACTGGAAGGTTCTTTCGTCGATTGAACAAAAACTGCTTCTCTTTCTTGTTTTCTTGCCCGAGGAATGGAAAAACTAGGACGGAAGAGGAAGAGGAAGAAGGAAGACATCAAACCAGATAAATTACATACATGGCATGTTACCATTACAAATGAAGCAAACCAAAATATTCTAGTTCAAGTTTTGTGCTAATCATTATGAGGGAAGATCACGCTTCTTTCAGGGCATGAAGGTACTTGTCAACTTGATGGCTTGGGTTGGATTAGTCAAATGGCTGTAATAGCATAAACAAGCTTAATTACCATAACATAACAATCCATTACGCAAAGATAATATCTTTGTACCACTCGAAAAATTGACTTACCCAAGAAAGCCAATAACTGCATCATACTTTTTTTTTTTTTTACCAACCAATTTACGCAATATATCCCTATAAACAAAATCGTATACGTCTTCAAATTCATAAAATGTTCAGATATTCTAACCTCACTTTATCAAACAACTCAACCACCTATGTAAAAATAAGCCATTTGCATCCTCTCTTTAAGTAGATCGATCTCTCCTAATAAAAATAAGCCAACCAAAAAAAAAAGGCATCTTTCAACAGTATCCTCTTCATACATTTATAGGCAAGTATGCTTTAACAAAAAGAATCAAAAGATGAAACCATTAGAAGAAGTTCAAAAATTACCGAAACAAAGTGCTGCCATTTTGCATTGTATTAAAATTGACAAATGCATTTTCCAAAGCAAAAGCAAATTAAATAGGGATCAAAGCATCGAATTCTGAACTCTTTTTTGCAAAACCTATCCAATTGGTCATCTCAAGGAAATAATTCAAATGATCAAATGCACTGTCGTTTTTCAATTGTGTAACCCAAAAAAAAAAAATACTGATATAGTAATACTATACCTTAGTGAACATACCAACGCCACATTCAATCCCAACTTTAGCCAAAAATAGATCATCAGCCAACAACCTCTCTTTAAACCCATCAAACTGCAACAACCACCGCAAAAACCGTGACTTTTCAAGCTCCAAAAACCTCGAAACCACTGCCCCTGGTATCCTCCCGGCCCGGATCGCCGCAGCTAAATCCCCCGGCAAACTCTCCACAGACCGCTTCGCCTCCGCCAACACCATCATCGCCTCCTCCCTATTCTTATCTTCCGCACTATCACCATCACCATTGCGGTTGTTGTCGTCATTGTTATCTCCACCGCCACCGCCGGAGGGAGGAGGGTGGTGGTTGATGCCGCCATCTCCACCGGAAGCGGAGGGGACGAAGAGAGGGAGGATGCGGTTGTTGGAGTGGTCGTGGCGGAGGGAGGAGGAGGAAGAAGAGGGGAGGGAGAGGCGGAGGTGGAGAGAGGAGGATGGGTGGAAGGAACGAGAGAGATTGATGAGCTTGGGATTTGTGTTGCTTGAGAGAGAGGCGGTGAAGAAGCAAGCGGCGATGGCCATGTCTAATTCAAATTTGGTGGGTAGAGATGGACAGACAGACAAGTTCTGACTGCTGCTTATGTAAGGAGTTATAATGTGCCTACGGGTCGAATCCTCAGTAATTGACTTGTGTTCTGCTTTTGATGTTTCTTATGTTGTTTTGTCTATAGCTTAGCTGGGCCTTCGAATTAGGTACGTTTGGAGTAGTTGGTTAGTGAAATTTTTTCCAAAGGGCAAATAGGAGGGTGTTTGACAAATTTTATACTACGGAAGAGTAATCAGTAATAAGATAATAGTTATTTTATGAATTTATTTTTTTAAAAAATAAATATAAAGAATAAAAAATAAAAAAATTAAATAAAATATTTAATGAATTCGAATATAATTTAATATGTCCTATCTTTCTTTAAAATGGATATATAAAATAATTATTGTATTATAAAACTTATCCGAGGCTGTATTTCTCCAGTTCCTCCCTCAAGCATCTGAGATCCACTCTCCTTTATTGATTATTTATTGATGCTGCTGCTACTACTTTTGATGCAGCATTTGTCAATGCTTAAACCCCATTCGATAGCATTAATTACAATTTTAAACAACCCACTACTTAATTAAGTAGGTATTGGATGAGAGTTAGCTTATTTTGTAAATAATTCTTTGATAGGATTGCATGCTAATTAACTTTGTTTTGGTATGCGTGCCGTTGATTTACTATTTGCGATGGAGTAGAAAAATATAGTTTTTTATAGGTAAAAATAAGAAAATCATGGAGTGCGGGAGGGCAATTCATCCTCTTTTTTTTTTTTTTTTGGAATTGAATGAAAAAATGAAAAGGTTGATAATACATTTAATCATGCGGTGGGGGATAGGACCACTTTCTAACACATTTAATCATGCCTTTTCTTTGCTATATAACTATTTTTCCTTCCAATAACCATAGGCACTTAAAACGTGTATGCTGTTTGAGAAAATTAATGCAACAATTAACAAGGATTAATCTGAGAAAGACTGCTGCAGAACATAAGTTGCAAAGCGTTTCAAATAATTGAATGGTTGGAATAAAATAAACCTCTTTTTCACTTGATCATATTCTAAGAAATATATATATATATATATATATATATTATTGAACTTACTCGGTTGAATGTTATATAATTTAAAAGCTTGAGAGTATGGAAAAATAAACATAGTATATATATCACTATCTCTATTTAAATTGATCTTCGTGATTTAAAAAAAAGGTTGATAATACATGAAGTTTTAAAGGATTTCTTTTTTACTAACCTTTTTTTTTTTCATAAAAGCTTATCTATGTATAGATGATCCCTTCAGTGTTTAATACTTTAGTGACCCATTTTTAAGACACTTAATTAAAAAAAATGCTAAATATCAATAAAATATGACAAGAAATTTTTTTAAGAAAATACATGGATCGTTCAATTATAATTTTAAAGTTGAACTCATTTGTAGATCTCACTAATTCAACGGTCCATGTCTATTGTTGATGTTTTTTTATTGTTATTTTTTTCATGTTTAGCATTACTCTTTATAAAACAATCATTAATATTTTATTATATTTCATGTTTAGCAACTAGCACGGCAATAATATTTTTTTAAAAAAATGATAAACAAGGAGAGAAAAATATTGCATTCTCTAGTACTGAATTATGTAAACGTAATTCATAACCTTGATCTGTAGACAAATGAAACAGGTCACGTTTCAGTAAATCACTTGGCAAAGGCCTGCTTTCGTAACCGATCATCTTCCTGAACGGAGGAAATACACAAGAAATCAGTTTGATAGTTAAAAAAAAGTAGAGAAAGGGATGGATTTAAATATTCAAAAGTAGATGCTCAAAAAAAAAAAAATTCTTCTTGTTAGCTGGATGCCAAACAAAATTTATAGTTTATTCGACTCCCAATAACTTGGGAAGTCAGGTGTCAAAACACAAAATCACAGCTACTATTTTATTCCCATTTTTATCGATAATGGATTCTGTCTACGACCAACTTTGGTACCACTTTTTTTAATTTTTCTTCGTACAAGAGATTAAATCTTTTAATTGAGCAGTTTTAAAGATATATTTTCTTATTGAAATTATGTAGTCAAAAAAATTGATGCCTTAATTATATAAACAGACTCAATTTTTTGTATTAATTTTACTTTCAAACATTTAAAAATTTTCAATTAAACTTTTCATTTATTATTAAAATTTTGTATTCCTATTTTTATTTAAATTTTAATTTAGAAAAATTATAAAAAACAAATTTATTTTATAAAAAAACTTAACGTTTTCCGTTGAAACAATATTATTGTATAAGAAACTTAACAGTTTTCTGTTTAGTGATTCTAACATAAACCTTAGTTGAGAAATGAAAATAATTTAAAGGTAAAATTGAAATTAAAAAAAAATAGTTTGAATGTAAAATCAATACTATCTCAATAGTTTGGAGATAGATTTGCTATAAAAAAAAATGGTAATTTTCCATCCCTGAATACAAGTAAACAATTAAAATTTGGATTTCGTATGCATGGATTTTTAAGCTGAAACCTTTTACAAATAAAATTCTAAGATATGGAGTAGTATATTACTCCACCGTGAACTGAAGTTTTTAATAGATCATAATCTTTTGAAAAAATTATCCATCAACTTTAAGCAAGTAAACTGTATATTTACTGCACGCAAACACGATATCATCATCTACGAACGATTACACTCTCCACAATATCAGTGGTTTCTCTTTTGAATTTAAATCATTTTATGAAATGATTTGTTGTTTTTCTTTAGTTAGCTCAGACCAAACTTTGGATACAGAGTCGAAATTATGTTCAGCTACAACTGGAGAATCATTGTGTTTGATGTCTATGCATAAACCATTCGGCAATTTAATTGAACTAATCTACTGGGCTTAGATTGCATCTCCAGATTTTTTGTCAGCAAGGCCTGTAATTGCTCGCTCTCTATATTTCCAATATAAACGTTTAAGCTGGCAAAGTTCAGTTATACTTAAATGCATGACAGGAAAACAACGTACTTAAAATTTATTGGGCAAAAGTATTTCACAGTTTTTGTTGTTATGACTCTTTGGTCGGCAAGGCAAAAACTCCCTCAATCTTCATCTAGCTTGGAAGCTGGTTAACGCCTAGGACTTGTGGGAGTGAATTCTGCTGCAAATGTTTGGTGAATAACTTGGGCCAACAACTTTACCTTTTTAGGTCAGACGGCCCATTTTGGGCCTGAATGTTTCTGAGTACGATTGATTTATTTCCGGAGATTTCTTAATGGATGGGTTTTATTAACTTTTGAGTTAAATATAATTTAGTTTTTCATGGTTTTAAACGTAGAAGATAATTTGTTTCGTAGAAAAATAAAAAAAAAAAAGAAAAAATTTGATGATGCTTTTATTAACCCATAAAAATAGAAAAAAAATAGAAAAAAGAAGATACTTATTGCAATTTTGTGATGCTAACAATATAATTTAACATTGTTAGTCTAAAAATAATATTTTTAAGACAAAACTCAAAGATAATTAGAAGAATTTAAAACAAAATAAATAAATAAATAATAAAAAGCATTTGCAATTATTAACCCATAAATAAAATCTATTATGGGGTTTCGTTTCAAACCCTACTTTTTCTTGGGGTTCATTAACCATTTGAGATTATTTATGTTTGTCCACATGAAAACTTACACTATATGATTCTTCTTTTGAAAAACTACATATATGGTCTTTGCTATCTATTTGATGATTTTGGGCTGCCATCTGTTTGATTTGTGCTATTTGATGATTTGAGTGGCGGTGGTTCATGACCTTGTGCGACGGCACAACTAGATTGAGCTGGCGCCGGTTTTGAGATGCCACCTGGAGCCGGGTTTGGTGGGTGGAGGCTTGATTTTCATGTGCGATAGAATTGGCGGTGGAAATGACTGGTTTTTTTCAACACTGGATGGATATTGGCAATGGTCGGTAGGAGAAATTAATGGTTAATTTGATCATTTAGGTGACCAAAAATAAAAGAGGCTGCGCCAGTAGATAAATTGGGTGCGCCAATAGCCATTCGGTTGTCATAAACGCATTATTGCCTAAAGTTTCTTATTAGAGAAAATGCAACTGCCCACAGTTACATGTACCAGCCATGACCAATGGTTTATACATATATATATGATAAATTTTAATCTATCTTCCTGAAATTTGAGAGATTTTTCAATTTCTTTCTTTAGATTTTGTTTGTATCAATTACTTCTTTGAACTTTTATGAGAATTTCAATTCTTCCTTTGCAATTATTAAACTAGCATAACTATAACTAATACTATGATATGTTTCATGTGTCAATCGACTTTTTAAAATATTAAAAAAATTTCGATCAAATATTTTTATCAAATATTTTTTTCAATTACATTAAAATTTATTTCATTAAAATTTGAAAAAAAAAAGTAAGTAGCATCGTTTCAATAATGAAATATCACATCATTAGTTATTAGTTTGAGTTTATGGATTTCAATAGGATTTGAAGTATTAATATGAAAATTTCAATTATGATTTGGATGAAAAATATATGTAGTGTGTTAATATTATTAATTTTATTATATTAAGCTTTAGTTTTACATAATTAAAAAGCATTTTTTTTATTTTGTTTTGTTTTTTTTTTTTAATGAGAATACAAAAAGATGATACCAAGCTATGTCATTTGTTTTAAGGAGTTATATTAACTTGGTATTTGATCGTTACGATTTCATTATAATATACAAGATTTATATTTTTAGTTTGTGTATTTTTATTAATATTTTGTTATGTGTTAAAAATTTTCAGATTTGAGAAATATGAGATAAAAAATAAAAATATAATCCTAGTTGAAAAAAACAAGACAGTTAATATGATTGAAAAATGCGTGTTTAATTAAAAAAATTAGAAAGTCAATTAAAATATAAAAGATATTACCGTATTAGTTATATTAGTTTAATAGATGGAAGGAAAGAATTAAAACTTAGATGAATTAAAGTTTAGGAGCATAATTAATACAAACAAAATTTGAAGCGAGAAATTGAAAAATTCTCAAACCTTAGGGAACAAATTAAAATTTACCCTTTTTTTTATTGGATGACTAATGACGTGCCCTAAGACTAATTAATCGAATTGAAAATTTTACAATTTCATATATTTTGAAATAGAATTGTAATTAATCGAAAGTTGAAAATAAGGTTGAAAATTTTATATATTTCATCTAAAAAGTGGACAAATACTATTAGACATGCTAAAAAGAGAAGTGGATTTTAAAAATGAGATGAAGAAAGTAGCTTATACGAGCCAGCTTCTTAATTTCCTTCTTTAAAAAAAAATCTCGAATTTGAATATCTTTTCTCATTAAAAAAAAAATTTCAATAATTTCTCCTTTTCATCACCCACCGGCATATTTTCTTGATCCTTCATAGGCTGATTTGCATTTTTGCATTAACACGTGTACAAATGTTAACATATAAAGATTACATAATTCACTAATTAATAACTCGAAAATCAAAGAGAATGAATAATTACAATACTCACTAATAGCGCCGAGAGTTGGGATTATTTAGGGCCATGTAATACAGTAAGATTAAGATGAAGTGATGTGCCATGCATGACGCAGAAAAGGCAGCAAAATTTCTCCACTGGTCTTGATCATGAACTCTGCAAATTAAACACCCTGGCCCTCAATGGACCCGATAAAATATCATAGGACAACGATACACTTCTTGACAGGACAATGAAAAGAAATGACAAGCAAGCACATCCAATTAAGTTTCCTACCATCAAGAATTACAGTGCTTCCATTTGAGAAGAACTAGCAATATTCTTGAGCACTTTTTCAAGGTGGTGTGCCGTATCTGCTGGATGAGCGTCCAGTACTCTAGGTCTCTCTGGCAGAACCCACCGGCCATCACTATTTCTCACCATCCCTTTGTTCTCATCTTGCCGCCAATACGGGGGCACCCCATACTCGCTTTTCAAGAAGTCACAACTCTTGTTAACAAGGGCGATATCCCTCTTTGTCGCCAAACAAAATCGCTGCCCTTTGCCATGGTAGCCATCCACCAAGTGTAAAAGGGTTTCAAGATTATGTGCACAACCAAAATCTTTAATAGGCTTTAGAAATGGGCTATGGGTGTGATCCAACGCAAGTTCCACCCCAACGTGTGCATAGCTCCATGGAAATGACATAGCGTCTTCTATGTATTTCTGGAATTGTGACTTCTCATTAGCAATAATCCCAGGCACAGTTGGCACCTTATCATGCACGTTAATCACCCTTAGCACCTTAACTCCAAGCTCATCGCACCGTTCCTTGAACTTAAGATTTCCTACACGAGGACCCGAAAAAGAATAGACCGTGAGAGGAATTTTAGTGCTGTACTCTGCATCATCCATGTAATTAAGTCTCATCTCTGCAATATCATAAGCACTTAATGTAGCCAAAGCAGCCCCGAGGCTATGCCCCGTGATTGTGATACTGAGTTCTTCATCTCTATAGTAATCAAGAAGCCGCTTAACCTCAGCCAAAACTTGTTCGCGAGCTGAGAATGTGCAGAACTTGCAAGAATTCTCTTTCTTGGTATACAAATCATAAAAACCCAACTCAATCTTGATTGATGGATCATTTATGAAATTGGCAGTGCAAAGGATATCTTTCAGGTCATAAATCCATTCTAGATATGTGACCGTGCCTCTCCATACAATGACTATCTCGCGCCTCCCTAGCCGTTTGATCTCTTCTTCATTTGTGGTGACAGCAACGTACCCCATCCAATTTGCATGCGTGCTCCAAACACTGCTTAGCTTAGATTTTTGAAAGAAATTTGGCAGGTTAATATTTGAGGTTGCATACAGGTACCTGGTTATTTGATAATTACTATGGCCTTGCATATCCAACCTTTCAAAGAAATGAGCTCCTTGGTATTTGCATGTGCCACAATACTTAGAGTGAGGATCAAAATCGAAAGAATCGTAGGATGCTTGTGCAAATTCTCCATAACGAATAATTTCTTTTCGGAGATGTGAATTCATTGGGTCCAGTAATCCTTCCCAGTCATTGCAACCTTGAATTTCCCTCCAAATTTCACTAAGAAGCCTCTCGTCTTCTTGATTAACTAGGGTTCCGTCTAGCTGTGGAGATAAAGTACTTGATACAGATGAGCCTTTGATCTTGATAGTTTTAGAATTTGGTGAAAAGGGTTCGTTTAGAAGGAAGAGAGGTTTAGGTTTGTTGAGGTTGTATCTTGGTAAGAGACATTTAGAGAGAGGTGGTAGAGTGCCTTTTGGGGTGTTGAAAGCTAAAAGCAGTGAAGCCATGAAAGAGTCTTCCTCTTTCTTTAACCTCTTTTTTAATTGAATTTTTTAGAAGGACAGAAGGAAAGGGAGGAGTTTTTGCCTGTATGGGGGGAAAAATCAGTGCTATAACTATATATGGATTAATTTGGCAGTAGGTAGGGGTGGAGGGATTTGCTCTAGCCAAAGTGCAGCACTAGCCACTAAGTCAGAAACGTGATTTTCTTTCTTCTGGAACAGTAAGTTCTTTAATGGAGTAAGCATTATGGCTTTATTGAGTTCGACGCAAAAAAAAAAAAAGACAGTTCTATAACCATATATGGATGAATTTGGCAGTAGGTGGGGGTGGAGGGATTGCGCAAGCCAAAGTGCAGCACTAAGTCAGAAACGTGATTTTCTTTATTCTGGACCAGTAAGTTCCTTAATGGAGTAAGCATTATGGCTTTATTGAGTTCGACGCAAAATAGCTTCAACTAATTAGTCAATGAGAAAGAGAAACGAAAGAGCCAAAACTATGACTTGAAAATGTGGTTGATTGGACTGGTGAGACTTTTAAATTAATTTGCTTTAACTTTTTTGTTTTTTTCATAATAAAACACTTTTAAATCTTATTTATCTTATTAATTTATTTATCAAAATAAATTACTCTATGTCAAATAAGAATCATCTCCTTTATATAATTTAACATATCAATTTTTTTAAATCATTTTGCTAAGTAAATATTTTATCATTACACATTAATCTCTTCTTTTTTACTATTTTCTCTGTATTAATCTGTTTTTTTTCTTATTTCTCTCTGTCTTTTTATTTATATAATGATGTAAAATGAATTTCTTAAATTTTTTTATTTGTACAAAATCCTTACACCCCACGGTTTGTGTTGTGAATTTCAGTATCATCCCTTTAAATTTCTATTTCCACCATAAATATATAGCCAACAGTAATTTCAAACATTCCAGCTGCACCTTGTGTAATTATGGAGTATGGAGAAGTAGATAATATTGGTATCAACCCCAATTACCAGAGAAGATAAAGTTTGTCAACCTTAATTTTTTTGATGTGGATCTTTTTATTTCTAAATCACTTTTCTTCAATCACTTCACGCTTTACATTGCTTTGATTCCAATGAAATCTCAAATGCTGAGTGGAGCCGGCGAAAAGAAAAACAACCTACAGCTGTTAATGAGCAACAAGGAGTGGGGCATAGGATTTTGAAATCTTTCACAGCAACTCGAATTGCCTTTGCATTCCCGAGTTGGTGTGGCGCGTCAACTGAGTCAGGTGCCCGAGTGACATCCTTAGCAATGTTGAGTGGTGTTATGAGAGGTGGGAAGCTATCACTTCTAGAAGGAAAAGAGAGCAGTCGATCCTAGTGCTAAACCAGGAAAAAAGATTTAAGTAAAAGTTTATATATAATAAATATGGAGTCAAGTAGATGTGAACTGAATCAATATCTTTTGCTTGGAAAACAGTCCACTAAGTGGGGAAAATGAAATGGGTAATTGAAAGCATTCACCTGCTCGTTTTAAATATATCTGTAAGTTACATCGTTCGATTTATGGTTTATGACAGGTTCCCCGAAGAGAAGGGAAAAAAGGAACAACAGAAAGAGAGGAAAAAAAGAATGGTAAAAGAAACTAGATCTAAAAAGAAATTTAGAGAAAAAAAGAGAATGAAAAAAAAAAAAAGGTTTTGGATCTAACCGCCAGCCACAATTTGACCGGTGTCAACCTCTAAACCTAAAAAGATGAAATCTTTTTTATTTTCTTCTTTTAAGAAAAAAGGTCTTAGTTTTTTATGTTTTTTAATTAATAAAATACCTAAAATAAAGATAAAGCTATTTAATGTAATGAAATTATTTTTCAATAATTAAGAAAAAATGATGTGGATGAAAAAATCTCATATGGCAAAAAAATGTATTTGTTTGATAAATAAGTTTAAAAGTACTCATTTAAATAATAAAGATTTAAAAGTGTATTGGTTTGGGAAAAACTCCAAGATAAAGTGAGGGTATATTTATTGGTCTGGTGTGAGACTTCAAATTACCTCATTTGACTTTATAAGGCAAGATAAAACGTTTCGTAAAGAATATTTTATCCATAGTGTTTGCGAAACTCTCTTCGATATATGATATGCATGTTTGAGTAAGATCAATTGTTAAGTTCTAGAGAGTGATATAACCATGGTTCGTAGTTTAGAGCGCCGCTTTGTATAAACTTCGAAGCGAGCTCTCGAAAAGGTCTACATAATATTAGGCTAAGTTTATGTGTTTGTAAGATTTTTTTTATATTATAATCTTAGTTGTCCACACCATATGTAGAAACAAAATCTCTTCTATTTGTAGTCGCCTATTGAAAATTCTTAATAAAAACTCCTAGTATAATCGTAAAGTAGACACAATTATTGAACCACGTAAATATTTATGTTGTATGGTTGTTCTTGTTATTCTACTCAATTTTCTTGCTTGATTCATTTCATAACATATATGTATTACAAATAATAATAATAAATAATTATTGAAAACTCGTTAAAAATATATGTAAAAAGAGTTAGTAATAACTATACAAAATTGACTTAAACTCTATTCTTGACTCTCTATGGACTCGTTAAAAAAAGTTTGCATAGTAAGAGTTTAAATAGAAGGAGTGTTATTATTCCTATTGTTTGTGTATTGCATCATGTTGTTACTCACATGTTGTAATCGTCCAAGGTTATAAATAGTTGTGATAATACAACCGACAATAGTTTAGGCATGAAACATAAGATTAATAGTAAGGTAAATAGCACCAATATTATCATGCCATATAATCGATGGGTTAGACAAACCAACCCTCAATTTGCTAAGTAAAGACTTAAGCTAAACTATTTCAACGAAACATTAGCCATTGTTTTTTACTTAGCTTTGATAGAATTTTGGGAGACTCGCTTCGCTTGAAAGGTTTCCAAGAGATAATGATTGCACCTCGGGAAGATGATGAAACCTCTTATAGATTTTCAATCATTTAAGCACCCTTCCCAATTAGAATAAGAAAACTTATGTAGTAAGGAGTTGATATGACGAGCAACGTACAAACCAAGATTCATTATAAGCTTCAAATATTAGAGAATTTGTTTCACCGTTATCTAGTGCTTTACTTTCAAATCATGTATGTATTGACAAACTTTGTTGACTACGGAGACAACATCTAGTCTAGTTAGTGTGACATGCTATAATGCACCCATTATTGGTCGATATTTAGTGGCATTTTCAAAGGGTCATATCGAATGTTAAGACAATTTAGTTGTAATAGGCGTAAGTATACATATTGGTTTGTAAACACCTATTCCTATCTTTGTTAGAAGTGCCTATACATACTTTTTTGAGTTAACATCAAGGCTTCGGATGTGATACAATACTCAAAAAATAACTCACTACTTTTAAATGTCAAATAGAGAATTTCTTATTTAAACGTGCAATGATGGAAAAATAAGAGAGTCCGAGTCATTGGTGATGAGTATGCCATCAACATATACCGAAAGGAAAATTTATGCACTATTTTTTATGTAAAAAAATAGAAAAATATATTTTAGAGCCAAAAGAAATTAATGGATCAAAGATATTCATGAAGGCAAACACATCATCCCCTTAGTGATTGTTTTAAATTATATATTAACCAATGTTATTTATACATGTAGTTAGGATATTAGTCATTAACAAGGCCTTTCTATAAAGACATTCTCATCTAATGCACCATTCAAAAATGCTTTGTGGAGATCCAGGTTACTGTTAGACCAATTATGTGTTATTGTTAGTGAAAGAACATAATGGATAGTTGTCGACTTTACCATTAAACTAAACATTTTATTGTAATAGACTTTTTTATTTGATAAAATCATTTAGCCACTAACTTGGCCTTATGTCATTTCATACTCCTATCAGCTTTTATCTTAGTTTTACACACCCACTTGCAAACGATGACATTCATGCTATGAGTGTATAGAACAAGAGACCAAGTGATATTTTTTAAATGTGTATTGAACTCAACTGCCATAACGTTATGCAATAAGAAGATTCTACCAAATTTTACATTGGTACTCTAATGATATGGATTAACATTTTTTTGTGACTCGTGTTTATGAAAAACGATTGAGTATTTACAAAAAACACATGAGTTTTAGATAGGATCATAAGAGAAGATATAGGATTAATTGATGTAGATAAAGGCAATAAGGCAAATTGATTTGGGCTCATTGCTATAAAAGGAGTTAATGTTGGAGAGTTGGTAGGATTGGTTTACAATAATGCCTATGAGGAACCAAAATTAGTTCATATGTTGTTGTTTGTGTAAAAAACAATGAAAAGGAGTAGGGTTTGAATAAAGTTACTTGGATAGACATTTGTGTGGAAATGACATTTTACAAGAAGACTTCTAAGTGGACTAGAATGCTAGGATTGATACTCGTTGGATAACCTATGAACTAGGCTAATATGGATCGAGTATTGATGTGGTTGTTTTAAGAAAACTAAATGTTAGGCTAGATAGGTATGTACAATGAGTTGATTTTTATGGGTGAATTCCCTCATGGAGAAAAAACTTCCATTAATGTATCAAAATTTGACATAATTTTGGTTTAGAAAAAGGAAACTTAGACTCTAAAATTTTAACATGCCTAGGAATGTAAAGTTTTTAGAAGGTAGATTCAAAACATCTATAGCCAAATAAAGGATCATACATCTTATGAAGGTATAGAAAAAAATAAAAATTTCCTCCATCTAAAAGGCCCAAGATCATATCGTTGAATCAATTAACCATATATTCATGAATTAAAATGATAAATAAAGAGTTACCTTTTATAGCATAAACTTAAATTCGTTAGCAAAAAAGGGAGTCGTCCAAGCATCTAGCCTCTATTGATGATCCACACAGTCCAAGCACTACAAAAGTAGCACTCAAAATTGGTAGAGTGCTAGCTTCACCTTTTTGAATTTTTTTCATTTTTTTTTCAGAAATTGAATCAGGATAATTTTACAACAACCCTAAGAG